CTAGGCCATGCAAGCCTTGTTTCGGCCCTTTGCTCGGCCTTCTTGGATAGCATCGGCCTTCGGCCCTTCTCATCTTTGGGGGTCAAACCCCACATCCGCATCATTCCCGCCCCCTTTAAGAATGTCCTTGTCCTCAAGGACTCGTCATCATCCATCAACCAAGTTACTTCCTTCTCAAGATTCACCTCGACCACTACGTGCGCAACTTCTTCCTTAACCACTGAAACCTCTTGCACACCTTCTTCATCCTCTTTCTGAAACTCCTCGACCACTTTGTCTTCTTTGGACTCGACCAAAATTCCTTCGACCTCGACAAAGTGTTCATCGGGATATACATCGAAAATAGGCGGTCCTTCATAACCCGTTGATTCTTTCACGTCCTCGATGGCCTTTACATCGTTAAAATATTTTGACAATTCAAACGGGAAGATAGGCTCCTCACACTTTTTGTTGACCTGACCTTCTTCTTTGCCGAACTCGCCTTGTACGCGGTCGGGCGCTCCATCCAACCCGTGCATCTCGAATTGTTGTTGCTCGGCCGTGCCCGCGTATGCGCTTGCCTCCTCGACAATGAAGATTTGGCCATCTCCATGCCAATCCTGCTCAATACTCTTGAGACCAACCTCCTTGGTCCCGCCGTCCTTGCTTGCCTTTAATGTGACCCGGTGTTTTCCCGCGTCGAACTTCATGACCCCCGTTCAGTAATTGGTGGTCACTTCGCCTAGCCCCTCAAGCCATTGCACTCCTAGCACAACGTCGGGTCCAACCAAGGGTAGCACATAGAGATTGGCTTTGATAGTGACTCCTTGAAATTTGATCGGCACCCCGTGATAAGACTCGGTGCACCTTAGCCGTTCGCCATTGGCAACTCGAACCTCGAATGGCTCTATCTTCGTCGTTGGCAACTTCAACTTTTGAGACAGCGTGGCGTTGATGAAGTTGTTGTTAGTGTTATATACTGAAAGCTTGGCTTTGCATGTTATTACACATTTACCCTTTATGAATGAGAATCATGTTAGATTAAACAAGTTCTACGTTCTGTTGTTCTGCACTTAGATAGGGTGGGTCGTCATCGGGCGAACCGAAGATCACTCTGTCAGTTACTTGCGAACAAGAATAGTTGTTCACAACCTAGATGGACATGAACACCCCATCCGAACGGTTGTAGTGTCAACTGTACAGTTTGTCTTGACTAATTAGTTGCACTATTACATTTATGTATTGAACAGAGAGAGGAGAAATTCATTTTATACTGATCGTCGTAAATGAACTAGGCCTCGGTTAATTACTGCGTTCTCTTAACCCGTAAGATATTAAACAGGCAGATATATATAATATATATTACTTTGATTCACATGGGTGAAGTTCAGTTCACTGGATTAATATTCCTATTGTTTTGGGTAATATTATTATATATAGGATGTGCTGTTAGGATATTTACGGTCACCATGTGCGTTAGTTTGATGATGTCCCCGGAGTGAGTTCATGAAGGATTGTTATGCTAAACCCTGCAGGTGGATTAAATTCCGGCATAATAAGAATGTGATGAACGAGCGCTAGCTTCGGTGAAATAATAATAAATTAATTAATTCTTGATTGTCAGTAATCGAATTAATTAATGGACATTATATCTTAAACGTGGGGAGGTAAATCGAGTAATTATTATTGGAGTCTCAAATGTAATTTGGGCTAGGGAAAGGGAGTGCAATAATATAATGTTGGTGGCCCATTAATATTATTTAATTAATTAGAGGAGTGGGTTTGGCCCACAGTTAGTCTAATTAATTAAGGAGCCCTTTTCCTAATCTCCTTAGGGTCCCTACTGTAGCTCTATATATACATCATTAAGCTCATGAGAAGAGAATACCAATCCTATTCACACGTGAATAATGCCGCCCATCTCTCTCTCTCTAGATCTCATTCGAGCTTTATCTTCTTCTTGTCGCTCCACTGGTACAAGTTGAAGAAGGGTGTATTGAGTAATACAGTAGAAGATCTATAGGTAAACCGAGACGAAATAGATCTTGACCTACAGAACTAACCGGAAGTCCGATTGAGACGTACAGTATACCCAGACGACCGTCTCGACGAGAGCTTTCCATCGCCGCCGACGTCGCCGGAATCCACACGCGCCCTCACGCGCCGACGGAAGGTGTCTAGCAGCAAAATTTCGTTTTGATCTGTTTGCATCCGTTTGATCCAGTTTTGATCTGATCTTGTTCGTGCAACCCAAGACGCGTGTTGCGGTCAATCAATTGCGGTCAACCGTTCGTGGTCAACCAGATCTACATAAATTTTAAGCCGTAAGTTCTCTACGTCAAACCTTTAGATCCGCTGCGCATAGGTTTACGTTTGCTATTGAATTCGTGATTTGTACATAACGAGATCCTCACAGATCCCAACAAGTGGTATCAGAGCACTTGGTTAATTCGTTTTGTACAAAGTTCGAATTTTTACGGCTTTATTTGACAAGATGTGTTCAAACGCAGCCATATATTGGATTATATTTGCATAACTCGGTTTTGCAGGAAAATAGTTAATCCACTATTATGGCCGATTATGTGTTTGATGAATGTTGTTGAATGTGATGTATGGTTTTAAATTTGTTTTTAAAGTCTCGGGCATGTCGAGGGATTTATGGATGAATGTTTGTAATAATTATTCGCCCAGGGGTTGACCGGATAGATTTAATTATTTGTTT